ATTGTGGCACCTCATGCTATTGAAACCCACCCAACAGATGGCTCTCAAACTTGAGGACTGTACAATACCAGGCCCTCCTGCTTAACTCTGACCTTACTGAATTCAAGGAGACTACTGTCTTAAACCCAGCAACCCTGCTGCCAGATGATGACCCACAGGTACCCATCTATTATGGCATGGGCTTACTCTCTACCACTGCCAGTCTTCATCAAGACCTTACTGATCTTCCATTACAGAATCCAGAGGTTGAATATTTCACCAATGGTAGCAGCTTCTTTGAAGGTAAACAGGTGTCAGGGGTGACCATAACCACTCATACAAAAGTAATTTGGACCCAACCCCTGGATCAAGGCACCTCTGCCCAAAGGGTTGAACTCATTGCCCTCACGGAGGCCTCAAAGCTGGCTGAGGATCTAAGGGCAACTATCTATACTGAGAGCTGTTACATTTTTGCTACCGTTCATGTACATGGGGCAATCTACCAACAGAGGGGGCTCCTAACCTCTACTGGTTCAAAGATTAAGAACGCTCCTTTTATCCTGGACTTGTTAGCTGATATCTGGCTCCCCAAATCTATAGCAGTGGTGCATTACAGGGCCACAAGATGGGAAAACATCCAATCTTGATAGGAAACACACTCGCTGACAGGAGTGCTCGAGAGTCATCTGTATAGTCATCTGGATAGCCTATGGCCCATTTGCTGCCAGGCCTGCCACCCTCTTGTTTGCCCCAATTGGTGTATTCTGAGTCAGATCAGGAGCCAGCTGGACAACTGAGAGCAAAAAGCCCCCCCCCCAACTGCCTCCAATTGCCAGATAGACAAATTTTAATACCCACTGCCTTAGAAAGAGATTTGATTCTTCAAATCCACCAGGCCTCGCTCCTAGGAGGCTCAAATTAAGCCGAGTTGCTTCAGACCAGGTACTTCATTCCTAAGCTGACTCAATTAGCAAAGGAAGTCAGTCAAAGATGCCCACAATGTCTACAAGTAAATACCAAAGCCACCACTATCTCAGAGAAAATCCGATACCAGGGAAACTTCTCCTGGAGAACACTGGGAAATTGATTTCACAGAAGTGGGGAAACCAGGACTACATGGACATAAGTATTTACTGGTTCTGGGAGACACCTTCACTGATTGGACTGAGGGATATCTGATGAAGACCAAATTGGTCTCAATTGTTGTCAAAAAGTTTTTATATGAGATAATTCCTAGATTTGGCCTTCCCTTGTTTATGGGGTCTGACAATGGCCCAGCTTTCATAGCTTCCATCACTAATAAAGTTGCTCAGTTATTACAGATTGATTAAAAATTTCACCATGCCTACCATCCCCAAAGTTCAGGTCAAGTTGAAAGGATAAACTGAACTCTAAAAGAGATGCTTAGCAAATTGATTTTAGAGTCTGGCAAAAACTGGGTGAGCCTCCTGTGCACGCGTTGTACTCCATATATATAAATGGAATAACCCCTTTTGAGGCAGTCTACAGGAGACCGCCACCCCTCGTTCCCCGCCTTGATAGTGCTCATTTGGCAGAGACTCCTAACCACAGCTTAAGTCCCTACAGCTCTTCAACCTGTGCTGACCTCCATCCACCAACTCTTCCGAGACCACCAAGCCAAATCTCTGCCCACACCAGAAACTCTGCTTGTTTCCAATCCAGGAAATCAAGTGCTACTTTAGCGTCGTTCCTGTAACTCTTCTCTTGAACCTTGCAGGACTGGACCGTACAATATCGTCCTCAGCACCCCTATGGCTATCAAAGTAGCAGGAAAATCTACCTGGATACATCATTTTCCCATCAAGGTTATCCCACCAGACACCCAGGAAACAGATAAGTGGACTGTCACACGGACTGAGAACCCCCTTAAATTGTCAAAATGTTCTTGATAATTCTCTTTGTCATATACAGCTTGCTTTGTTAGCTAGCCATAATCCAACCCATCCTTTCCTTAGAAAATGTTCAAGGTAATAAAACTTATGTCAGATCTGCTGCCTACAACCTTGACTCTAGCCACTATGCAAACTTATGTTCTGATTCTATTGTAATAACTAATGTCTCTTATGCGCCGTGTCAACACCTGGAAGCCCTTACTGGATCTTGGTTTGCTTGTACCTCAGGTTTAAAACTCCTTGTGTCATGCTTGATATATTCACTAGACATACTGAAGTATGTGTTCTTGCACATGTATTTCCCAAGTTTGCTGGTATTCTGGCACTAGTGGAAGAAAACACTTAAATTTAGAATCTGACCTCTTTAGGACAGCTCAAAAAGTCCCTATGTTAATACCAATTTTGATGGGACTAGGTCTCTCTGGAGCCACAGCATTGGGAACTACAAGCTTAGTAATCGGTGAGCAAAACTATCGAAAACTAAGTGCCCTAATAGACAAAGATTTGGCAACACTAGAACATTCTGTATCCAAATTGGAAGAACTCCTAAGGTCTCTGACAGAAATGGTTCTCCAAAACTATAGAGGCCTAGATCTATTATTCATGGAAGAAGGTAGTTTATGCGTAGCCTTAGGAAAGGCTTGCTGTTTCTAGGCCAATCACTCTGGAGTCATACGAGATAACATAAACAAGCTTAAAAAGACTCTATGAGTGAGAACAGCAATGACAAATGGACAAGAATTGATTTCAAAACTTGTTCTCACTATCCCCTTGGCTGACCACCTTGCTCTCTGCTCTGATAGGACCAATTATTCTCTTCCTACTTGCCTTAACTATTGGGCCATGTATTATAAAGTGCCTCTTGAATCAGTGTCAGTCGTGCAGTCTGACCAATTTCAAGCTATTAAAATGTTTATACTTAGACAAGAAGGATATTACCAGTTATCTACATATGATTATGCAACAGAGTCAAAGATTTGACTCAATAGCCAAAAGTACTGGGGAATGTTATAAACTCAAAAACCCAAAGTGTGCTGTACTTATTATAACTTGTTCTCTTCCTGTAAAACTTGTGTTGTTGCCAATTAAGTTGCAACTTTGTAACATACCCACCATGTAACGTGTCCCTGCCTCCCTGGTTCCTGTAACTGCTTGTTCCCCTCCCTGGTTCCTTTTATGGGGACAAACTGATCCAAAGACCCTGACCCCTCCCTCCCCTTGTGGCTTGCTACTTTATAACTCTGTGCAGCCCCTGGCTCCAGTGCACTGCCAGGGCTGCCTTCTGGGACAGTGTTACAGCTGAGTTCAGCTAATAAAGCGTTTCTTTTTTTAATTTTTGGAATCCATCATTTTTCTACCCATATCACCACTGCAGCCAAAAGCTCATGAAAAGCCGGTCAGTATCACTACTCAGAACATACAAACCTAAATCAGAATGAAGTGGGGTTTGATACCCAGCAGTTTGGCCATAGTTAGAAAACAGGCCAGGCAACAGACAGAACTGTGGTACAGTGCATGCTTAGTCTATGTGGCCCTGAATTGACCCCTAGCACTTAAAGAAAAAAGTACCAATTTCTAAAATTGACCGGTGACAAATGTACAGGTTTTTCCTGGCTGAACTGTGTAGTCTGAAGTATATAAAAACAAAGCTGATTTCAGAACTCAGTGAAAGGGGTCACGAGTACAGCTCGGTGGCAGAGCACTTATCTACCATGCACAATCCACAGCAAAAAACAAAACTCCCTAAAGCCAAAACAGTAAAAGGGGGCTGGGGTGCACCACACATCACAGTGGCAAGACCACAGGCTTAGCACAGGTAGCGGATACATGACACCTGGGTTTGAGCCACAATACAAAACAAATAATAACAAGGGTAAAGTTAAAAACATGTAAGTTAAAAAAAAAAAAAAACATGTAAGTTAGAAGGAGAATGATAGACCTCTAATTAAGACAGCTGGCATGGGGATATTTCTACCAAAATTTCTGAGGAAGAAAAATTGCTCTGAAATTGGAATAAAGGGACATCATATACTGATGATTCTAGGAAGATATAAACATTCTACAACGGAGCTTCAAGCCAGGTGTGGTGGCATGTGCCTGTAATCCCAGTGCTTTGGGAGGCTGGCACTGCAGGAGCACAAGTTCAAACCCAGCCTAAGCAACTCAGCAGGCCCCATCTCAAAAGTAAAAAAGGCTGTGGAGGTAGCTCAGTGCAGCAACCGTGGGTTCATTGCACAGTATCTCAAAACAAAAACAAAAACATTCACCCAACCACAGAGTATATATTCCTCTAAAGCACAAACACAACATTCACCAAGATTGAGAATACCGTGGATATAAAGTAGACCTTGACAAACTGAAAAGAATTAAAATCACGCAGAGTATGTTCTCTTGCCATAAGGGGATAAAACTTGAAATCAGCATCAAAAGGTTACTGGGAAATTTCCAACACTGGGAAACTGACCAACACTTCTAAATAATCCACGGGTCAAAGAGGACATCTCACAGGGAATTGGAAAATAGTTTGAGCTGAACAAAAATGAAAATACAACATAGCAAAGCTGTGGAATGTGCTAAATTAGTGCTCACAGGGAAATTTAGGTCAATATATCCTTATATTAGAAAAGAAGACATCAATGATCTAAGCTTCTACAGCAAGTAGGATACATTACACTAAAGAACAGAAATCAATGAAATTGGGGCCAGGGATTTAGCTTAGCAGCACAAGTGCCTGCCTGGCAAGCTCAAGGTCACGAGTTTGATCTCCAATACCAAAAAAAAAAGAGAGAGAGAGAGAGAGAAAGAGAGAGAAATCCATGAAATTAACAACAATAAAATCAATGAAATACAAAGATAGCTCTATGAAAAGATCATTATAAATGTTACACCTCTAGGGGAGAGTGAAGATAGAGACAGAGACGGAGAAGGAGATTAAGAGAATTACTGTCATCAGGAAGGAAAGAAAGGACATCATTAGAGATGACACAGACATTAAGAGGGTGATGAGAGATATTATGGATAGCTCTACATAAATCCAGCAGTTCTAGTAAAAATGGATCTATTTCTTGGAAATCACAAACCACCAAAATTCTGCCAAGAAAAAGACAATAAGAATCATTTGGTATTTATTAAAGAAATTGAATTTATAGCTTAAACCCTTTTGAAAAAGAACACTTTAGACCCTGATGAATTTATTGGTGAATTCTACTAAACACTAACAGAACAATAATTTTACACAATCTCTTCCAGAAAATCAGAGAACACTTCCCAAGTAATAACCTGAACTGCAAGCACCTAGTATCAAAACTGGATAGAGAGTGTAAGAAAATTGCCTTCCACAGACAGACATAAAATCCACAAATATTAGCATGTCAGTCCCAGTAACAGGTAAGAACAGTACACTAAGACCAGGCTTTATCCCAGGAATCACCTAAATCGATATTTCCAAACCAAGCAATATTATCAGGCTAAACAAGAAAATTCACATGATCATACTGCTTGATGCAGAAAGAGCATCAAATAGAATCCAACATCTGTTATAAAACACTGAGATCTAGGTGTGGTGGTGGATTCCTGGAAGCCCAGCTAGCTATCTGGGAGGCTGAGGCAGGAGGAGCTCAAGTTTGAACCCCATGTGGGCAAATTAGGGATGTAGAGAGACCTACTGTCAGAATAAAAAATGACAAGGGTAGGGCTAGGGATACAGCTCAGTGCGAAGGTCTTTGATTTTATCCCCAATATTAGGAGAAAAAGACAAAACCCTTGGCCATTTTGCCATAGTAAGTCAGCTGGCGAGAAGACGCTTGACATTGTAGACCACAGTGAGCAGCCTTCATCTTGAGCTCACATGGACATGGCACCGTGCGAGGCATCATGCCTGATGCTACATGCAGAAAAAGCTAGGCCTCGGTGCACAGGTAGAATCCTGGCTTAGCATACACAAGCCCTTGCTTGGGCCCCAGAACCTCCCCCACACACAAAACAAAACAAAAAAGAAAAGGGCCAGACCCCTTTGTCATCACCAGATGACAAAGGGACATGAATGGCCCTACAAGACTCTTGCCCGGGAGATGCCATGCTTCAGAAAAAGACTGGATAGCTCTGCAGGGCACATCAGTGACATCCAGGCACAGCAAGAGGGCACGGCCCAATCAGAGGGGGCCACAGGACGCTGGCGTTGGAGGAAAGGCGGGATGCACACATACGAGCAGCAGTGGTGTGAGCAGCTCAAGGAGGGAGGTATAGCCTGCCACCTCGTCACACGCGCAGGGGTCTGGACCTGACCGCCACTGTTGGTGCCAGGGAGCACTGCCACAATGGGCGCCCTGAGGCACGTGAGGGACGGACCAGTCATGTCCTGACGGTGGCAAGTGACCGGGCTCTAAGTGTATTAAAGCTTGTAAGACTGTCCTCTGAGTAGTCCGTTTTACTGCAGGTTAATTTCCAGAAAACTTTTTCATGAGGTGGGGAGTGGCCTAGGAAGCCCTCACCTGGCAAAATGACCTTGGGACCCAAAGAAGGTGGGCACAGGGGGCTCAAGGTGGACCACGTGGCAAAGGCAGGCCCCAATGTGCCTGGGGAACACAGGGCACAGAGCATAGAGGCTCCGCTCAGACAGCAGAACAGGGGCTGTTGCAGGACCGCTGGTGGCAGTGGAGCCAGGGGTGTGAGGGGTGTGTGGATGTGGATGGGGTGGCCGGGGAGGCAGGACCCCAGGTCCCTGCACCATGAGGCCTTGGGCCGGGAGCTGCCGCAGGGCTGAGTGGGCAGTGCTGGCAGGAGAGCTGACGACAGGCCTGGGGCAGAAGCAGCATGTCTTTGGGGGCTCAAGTTCTCTTGAGCTGGGTCCCCCCAGATGCTTGCATCTCATAGCAGACCCCTCAACGCTGCCACCTCTTGGCTGCAGCAGGGGACAGGGAGCAAGGCTTTCCTGAGCCCTTGTGAGCAGGGCACCCCCAGAAGACATGGCTGTGGCACCTCAGCTGATGCCACAGGCCCCACTGCAGTGCCTCAGCACATGGGGCTCAGATCCCTGGGCAGGGCAGGAACCAGTGCAGGGAGTGCCGAGAGCCGACCTGGGGTCCCACAGAGATGCCATGCCGAGGCAAGGCCCGGGCAACAGCACGTCCACGTGGAGACATTCAGCGTGTAGGGACTCTCCGGGTGGTGCGGGTCAGGCGTTCCGCTGCTCTGGGGGCAGGTATGTGAGGCCCAGGTGCCTGAAGATGTCCTCCTCAGAAGCCACGTGGAAACACGTCCTCTGCAACAGGAGCATGGCATCATCAGCCAGGGCCACACTTGGTGGCACCCCGAGATGGCCTGGCAAGGGATGCCCAGGCCTGGGGCAAGGCGCTGTTCTGGGGCCAGGATCTGGGATTTGAGATGGGGTCCTGTGGGTTACAGTGCCAAAGGCCCAGGCCAGATCAGACAGCAGTAGCCCGGGGCTCCTGGCCCACACCACGCCCCCACACACCTGCTCTGGGTCGAAGAGCCCATGGCTGTTCAGGCACAGCCCCTTCTCCTTCCGGCTGAATCGGCGCAGCTCCCTCTCAAAAAGCTGCAGGGCAGCACAGGGCTCAGGGGGCTGTCTGGGACACCCCAGCTTGCAGCCCCCTATACACAGCCTACTGGGGAGTGGGAGGAACTGGGGGAGCACATGCCTCAGAGAGGCCCACCAGGCCCCAGCCCGTGCACATGGCCCACCTGGGAGCCGGTCCAGCCAAGTAGGGCGAAAGGGAACTGGCTCCAAGGAGTGACCACCAGGTCCACCCTCACGGCCTTCCAGGCGGGCTGGGACTCTGGGTCTGCCCCCTTGGAGGGCAGCGGCAGGCGGAGGATGCAGAGACTCCGCTCAAAGGCGTCCATGGTATGGCTCTGCTGGGCCAGGCGGCTGGGGTCCCCCAAGCGGCTGCGCTGGTGCTGGTGGTACAGGACGAGGTCCTGCGGGGAGAGCAGGTGTCTAGGCTTGGCTGCAGTGAGGGTGCAGCTGGCCAGGCAGGATGTGGGTCGCTCACCTGGCTCTGCAGCTGGCGCAGCACGCTAGGCAGCAGCCCCGCCTCCCGGCCCTCCTCAGGGTGTGTGATGAGGAAGTCCACATCGTGGCCCTGTGGCTTCCCCCTGCAGGGACAGGCCAGCCTCGTGGGACAGCACAAACAGGGCAGAGACTTCTGCCCAAGCTGCATCCCTTCCCAGGGACGGGTGTCCATTAGGTGACCACACATAGGTCCCTTTGCTGGGAGGACACATAGGGGCCCTTACCTCCGGAAGCCGCCAGTCAGTGTGACAGTGGCCCCAGGCAGGGCCTGTCTCACGGTGGCCTCCACCAGCTGCTGCAGAGCCTCAGCATCTGGCCGCCCCACGGGGGTGCACAGGTCAAGGTGGTGCTGGAGCCCTGCGGGTAGCACAGCCAGGTTCACCAGTCCTGTCCCCACTCCACATGGCCCTGCACACCGCCGCACTGGGCCTCCTCCTCCAGCACAGGTGGTCAGTGGCCCAACCCTCCCCTCTTATGTATTAGTCCTTGTTTTGTGGTAGTGGGGTTGAACCCAGGCCCAGGACTTTCACACTAAGCTACATCCCAGCACCTTTTTTTATTAAGTCTCTGAATTGTCCAGGATGGTTCAGAAGTTATGACCCTCTGGCCTCAGCCTCCTCAAGTGCTCGGATTACTGGTGTGTGTCACTATGCAGAGCTTACATAATGAAAGGTTTCTGCCCTCGTATAAATTACAGGACATCATGGCAGTGGTCTAACAGGGTGGAAGGCCAAAGCAAAAAAATGACACCCTGATGACCACTTCCTCCTCCTTCCCATTTAGCCCTGATTACAACTTCCTCTTTCCTTTCCTGTGTGCGCAAAGAATTCCAATCAGTTCCTCAAGCGTCATTAATGCTCATCCCAAGTGCCACGTCCAGTCAGAGGTCACATAACCCTCAGCCCCCCTGTGCTGAGCAGTGGAGAAAGCCCAATCCCACAAGAGGTGTGCTCCTCCCTACGTCCTCAATAAAGGCCACTTTTTTTTCCTTTTGCTTCTCTATTGCACCAGAAAACCCTAACACACACTAGTTTCTATTTTGATGTAACTGTAGATTCGCATTTGGTTGAAGGAAATAATATTTGAGTTACCTCACCTTCCCCAAAAGTAACAGCTTACAAAACTATAGTAGAATCAGATACAAGGAGGCTGAGTTACACGTGCAGGATACAGCTTTGGTTTCTCCATTCATAATGTGTGACCAAGAGGCGATAAAAAGATGGGAAGAAGGCTGGGCATACAAGTGCACGCCTGTAATCCCAGCACTTGGGAAGCTGAGACAGGAGGATTGTTACAAGTTCGAGGCCAGCCTTGGCTACAAAGTGAATTCAAGACCAGCTTGAATTGCATAGCAAAACCCTGTCTCAAGAAGAAAAAGAAAGGGGCTAGAGGTTTAGCTCAGTGGCACAAACGCCTGCCTTGCAAGCAGGCAGTTGTGAGTTCGATCCCCGGTACCGATAAAAAGGAAAAAGACAAAAAAAAAAAAAAAAGAAAAAGAAAAAGAAAAGCAAGAAGCTGGGTATGATGGTATACACCTATAATCCTAGCATTTCTGGGAGGCTGAGGCAGGAGGATTGTAAATCCCAGCCTAGCCTGGGCAACTTCACCACCTGATGAGATCCTGTCTCTAAGTATAAATAAAATGAGCTGGGGCTGCAGCTCAGTGTGAAAGTCTTGGGTTTGAGCCCCAGAATCTCCTCCAACCTTTAAAAAAAGGACGGGAAGAAGGTGGCCAGGCCACACTGCCTTTAGCATCCTCCTGTCTCCTGCCCTGTGATGTCGTCACTGGATCTCCCATGGGCCAGTCAGGAGAAGCAGCAGCACCAGCGCACTCTGGGCCTTTGTATCCCCTGCCCTGGGGAGGGGGACTGTGGGTGCCTTGGGGGATACCCCACCTGCCTCCTGAGCTAGGTGGCATCCAGGGAGCTATACAGGAACAGGATAAGTGGCTGTGATGCCCTTCAGCAGGGCTGTCATCCAGGCAGGACACACAGACAGGCCAAGTGTGTGCTCACTGACGGCCTCACAAAGGCTCACGGTCACCTACCTGACATCCACGGACAGAATTTGAACCCAGGCCCAAGGAACCCAAAAGTTGATGCTCTTCCAAGTCATGGGGGCTCTTGCCCTGCAGGCCCCTGGGATGCCCCCACATCATGATAGATGGGCCTGAGGCCTGGGCCTCACAGGATCCAACAACATGGGATCCTGACAACCATGCTGTGACACAATGCTGCCTGCCACCAAGCCCCCTTTGCCCCAGCTGCTCCCCTCACTCAGCAGGGTGTGCCAAGGGCTCTGGGAAGCAGGGAAGCCGCTCCAGGGCTCACCTGCCTGCTGCTGCCGGGTCAGTCTCCTGGGCTGCTCTTGGAGCTCGTCCAGGGTGCGCAGTCCTTCTTGGTACCACTGATTGGCAGTCTTCACCCCAACCCCGAAAATCTGGGTGAAGAGCTGTGTGGATGAAGGACAGATGACAGGTAAGGCATGGAGCTCCCGAGCAGATGTCTCTGTGGTCCCAGGCCACAGGGCGAGGATGAATCTCTGAAGTCGGCATGCCGGCCCACTTGAACTGCTGACCTAGAAGCTCTGTCACTCAGGGCCTCAGAAGCCTGGATGAGCAGCATCTCTTCTCTGGAAACCCCCTTTTCCACTCCCAGCAGCTGGAACTGGCTTCGTGGTTCTCAACACACAGTGAACAATAGGGTGTTTTCAGCAGCAGGAGGCCTGAGGGGAGACCCTCGGGGGCCCCTCTGAGGCTCCTGCATAGCAGCCGGGGCGGCCATGGTCCAGGGAACCTGGCCAAGCATGTCACCTGGTCTGAGCCAGCCACTCACTCTCCCAGCAACTCTGGAATGACCCTGTGCAGCCACACAGCAAGGCCACATCTGTGGCCACATCTGCACCGCGGGAGGAGGACTGAATGGCTACGGGCCTCCCCCTTCTGGACTTTGCTGTGCCATCTTCTCCCTGATTCTCTGAACCTATTATAAGACAGGCCATTGTCACTTTGGCCAGTGAAACCTGACTCTAAAAATACCAAGGTTGGGGCTGGGGATTTAGCTCAGTGACATAAGTGCCTGCCTTGCAAGCAGACAGTTGTGAGTTCAATCCCTGGTACCGATAAAAAGGAAAAAGACAAAAAAAAAAAAAAATACCAAGGTTAACTAGGCACACAGGTGTAATCTTAGTCACTCTGAAGGAGGCAGCAGGAAAACTGCAAGTTCAAGGCCAGCCTGGATAATTCAGTGAAGTCTTTTCTCAAAACAGAAAAATAAAAAGGGCTGGGCACTTGGCTCGGGGGCACAGCACTTCCTTAGTGTGCATAAGGCCCTGAGTTCAATCTCCATTACTAAGGGTAAAAAATGAAAAAAACAAAACAGACAGTGCTGAGTGTTCTAGAAAATTCTGTGCTCAAGTAGGCTGCTGCCTGCTGGTCTCCACTTGGCATTCTTGTGTGTATCAGGTGTCAGCTCAGCTGCTGTCGTCTTGCAGAGACCTTCTCTGACCCCAGAGCTGGGTCAGTGTCCCCTGCCTCATCCCCATGTGTGCTGTGGCCCTGCCAGGTCCCACCCGCCTGCGCACCTTCATGGTCCGGTACCTCTCAGAGCAGCGAACCCTCTCCACCTCCTCACACACGCCTCGCTCCAGCAGCTCCTGGAGAGAAAGCAAAGCAAAACTCTAAGCCCCTGGGACCAGAGAGAAAGAGAGTGAGCAGTCAGGGGAGCCATAGCCAGGGACAGGGAGATCCCTTCTCCTACTTCTGGGAGGCTCTTGGTGCTACAGTCCACTAGGACTCAGCGACAGACCCTGCTTGGGAACACAGGCAGCAGGGTCCAGGGTCAGAGCTTCTCATGGCTGCAGTGACAGCAGCTGAGGCCCCAGATACCGTGGGTCATCCTGCAGGTGGGTGTCAAGTCCCAGGAGATATAAACGCTTGCTTTCGAAATGTGTGTGACTTCGCTTAGAAGTGTCTTTTACCACCATGGATTTTTAAGGTGGAAATGCACAGCAGGAAAGCTCCTTGTGTCAGGTTCTCAAAACCTCACACTCAAGGTACTGTCTTCCAACACCCTAGGCAACTGGCGCCCAAGAAGAAGACACCAAGGCCAATAGCTCCCTGCACTGGGTTCTCGGCACTAAGGATGGCCTTCAGTGCCTTGTGGCAGCTCTGTCTCTCCCTGCTGGGCTCTGAAAACAGAGACCCTGCTCTCTCATCAGGCCTCAGGGGCCCCTACTCCCGCTTGCCCCACTCAGTGTAGCGGGCACCAACCTGGATGACGCTGGTGGAATGTTCTCCGAAGTGTGGCAGCCCCTGCAGCTGGCTCAGTTCTGTGACAGGCCAGGGCAGGGCCTTGAGCACTGAGGCTGCTCTGCGGAAGGAGAGGAGGCGACCCTCACTGCCTTCGAAGCCTGCTGCTTCTGCCAGTGTCTCCAGAGCCTCCTGCAGAGAGGGGCCTTTGGTGAACCCCGAGTGACCATCCAGCTGCAACCTGTCTGAGCCCCCAGGGCAGGACCTTCTCACAAAGCTCACCGAGAGGCTGCTGTTGTGGTGCATGAGGGGTGTGGAACGCTGGCAGGCGTAGGCTGGCATCACTGCTGCTGCTGGCGCTGGTGCTGGTGCCACTGGGTTTGGAGGTCTCTTCCGTGGCTCAGGGACCTGGGGAAAGGTGATATATGGGTCATGATGAGGCTGCAGGGCTGGCAGGAGCCAGGCAGAACCCTGTCCTATCCTAAACATTCACCTTGGGCCTTTGGGGTCTCACAGGCAGAGGGAGCCAACTGTAAGAGGGTGAGCACAGGCAGAGGGAGGCACCGGCCTGCAGAGGGCGCTTTTCAGGCCAGAGAAACAGTAGCAACATCTGCTAACCCTTATGGAGAACTTCAGCTGCCACCCCACTTGCTGCATGTGCTTCACCTCCCCAAATCCTCCCAATCAAATGGGATGGGGGCACCGAGGCTAAAGAGATGGCCTCTGACTCATGGCTCACAGGCACACTCAGCACTTGCATGCAGGCAGCCCAGCTCCTGGGACTCCTGAAGGTCATCCACTCAGGGAGGAAGAAAGGGCTGAAGATGCCACGTGGTGAGGACAGACAGTGGAATGGCCCAGCCCCAGCTTTTGCTCCTGCCATGGCACTCTACTGGATTTTCAGGGCCTCCTGGTGGTCCAGTCACAGCCCTCACATCCTCCAGAGGACACAAAGGCACTGTTGCCATGTCTCCAGGTTGCACCAGCTCACCTCCAGGCGGTGTCGGCCCTCCACGGGCACAGGCTGCCCAGCTGCCATGCTCTCTGTGAACCAGGTGATGTCCAGCAGAGCTGGGCAGGGGCACCCTGGGTGCAGAGTAGCTTCCTGTTCCTGCCAGCAGACAGCCTCCTCTGCTGAGGTCTGCTCCATCACCACGTGTGTCACTTCAGAGCTGGCAAAAGGAGAAGAGGGTGAGGCCCAGGGTCCCACCTCTTCAGTTTCATACCTGTGAACCTTTGTCCTTGCCTTGCCCTGCATGGTGATGACCCTTCATTCTCCAAATGTCACCACCTGTAGAAAGCCCAGTCCCTCCTGCTAGGCGATGAACACCCCTATTATTCTCTGAACTGTGATTCTGCCAGGCATAGTGGCAGAATCTAACCTGAATGGGGAACACTGAAAGTCTGAGCCCAGCTTGGACAACTTACACCCTATCTCAGATTTTTTAAAAGGCTGGCAATGTAGCTCAGTGCAAAGGCCTCGGGTTCAATCCCCGGGACCAGGAAAACAAAAACTGGTTTCCTGTCCCAAGTATGCTCTCTTGGACAGCCTGACTATGAACTTATCTGAGTCTTTCACCATCTCAGAGGAGCTCCCCAGAGGCTGAGACCAGGTGATCTTCATCTCAGCGCTTGGTTTAAGCACAGATGTGAAGCCTGACTCTATGAACCCTGGCTCTGTAAAACTCGCTGCATGGCCTTGGCAAGTCGGGTCTTCTCTCCTTTGTAAAGTGAAAGATAACATGTTGTTATGGTTAGACTGCCCTGCTGCACTCTAAGATGCTTTCGCTTTTTCTAGCTCTCCAACTTCTCTCAGGTGAGTCTAATGTACTACCATCCCTCAGGAATGTTTAATTTAAAAACAGAAGTAAATAAAGGCTGCAAGGAGCACTGGCTTCAAGTTCATTTGCTTTCCTGTCTCGAAACCATTTCCTCACTGGGCATCCACTGGGATTTCTTCCTAAGGGCTCCGAAGGGCTTGTGTTTCAGTGATGCCAAAGAACACTCCCGGCTCTCATAAACAGCACCTTTCATCGAAAGGGAAATCGCGGCCTGGGAAAGCCCACGATGCGAAGAGCCAGGTATTTCATCCCAAGGCCGTCGTCAAGAGGCATGGAGGACCGAGGCAGCGGCGGCACACCGCACCTTGCGACGCCGGCGCCCGCAGGACCCTCGGGGGCAGAGCACCTGTACACATCCAGGACACGGAAGCCTTTGGACAGCGCCAGGCGTGTGAGGAAGCTCCGGCGGCTGCGACCCATGCGCGGCTCGGCCAGGTAGATCGCGACGTCAGGGAAAAGCACCGAAGACGGCGTGGAGCAGGCGGCAGCGGCGCCCGGAGACCTCGCTCGCGCTCGCCGCCGCTTTGGAAGCATCTGAGCGCGGACTCGGGCGACTCCTGGGGTCCGCGGAAGGCCGGCGGACGGAAGCCCGGAGGAAGGCGGACGGAAGCCGGCTGGACCAGGAAACGGCCCCGTCCCTATGCCAAAAAAAAAAAAAAAAAAGCCAAAGACCACGCCTACTATTTAAATCACCGGGTGCGGGCGGGGCCGGCGAGAAAAGGGGCGGGACCTTGCCCTCCCTGGGGAGCTGGGTCTGGGCCCGGGCTCCGCCCGCGGCTGGCTCTGGTCTTTCGCCGCCCTGCGTCGGCTCCGCCAGTTTCGCTGAGTCTGCAGGGTCTGCGGAGGCGCGGGTCCGAGAGGGCTCTTGGGGGGCCTCCCCTCGGACGCGTGGGGAAGGGTTCTTGGGCGAGTGGCGCTGGGATAACTGGCCGGCCCTTTGGAAAAATAGAAATTGGCGCCCACCCTCACTGCTTAGCACCAAATAAATTCCAGATGGATCAAACATTTAAATCTGAAAAAGAAACCAAAACCTTACTGGAAAAAGAACTAATATCACAATAATCTTGGAACTACTAAAGGAAAAGGATGATAAAGTGAGCCACATATAAAGTTAAAATGTGTTTAAAATTAAAGTCAAAAGACAAATTGATTTACTTTTTAATGTGACATCGTTTGAAATTAACATTAATTAGCATGACTATAAAATTTTCAAAACATATAACTTTGAAAATTGGGAAAGTAATAACTTTTTCTGTAGATAAGAGACTATGGTTCAATAAAATGAGTAAAGAAACATGAGTGGATGATTCTTAGAAAAAATCCTAGTGGCGTTGGTATGGTGGTGTACATCTGTAATCCCCAAAGTCTGGGAGGCTGAGGCAGAAAGATCACAAATTCTAGCCCAGTTTGGACAATCTAGGGAGATTTTGTTTCAAAACAAAATATCAAAGGGTTGGGGATGTAGCTCAGAGTCAAGGCTCTGGGTTCAATCCAAGGATGACAAAGGGAAAAAAAAGCAAGGAGCAGCAGGGAGAAGAAAGAGGAGGAGGAGAGGGAGAAGGGAGGGGAGGAAGAGAAGGAGGAGAGCGAGAAAGCGAGGGAGAAGAGAGAAGAGGAGGGAAATACTAGCTGATTCCTTCAGGATCTCGTCAGTCATGAGAGGAGAGCATTTAAAAGGAGAATGTCTTCACCTGCTGGATTAGTAAGATTGGTGCCCATTGTGGTCCCAAAGGGAACTGGCAACTTGTAGGAGGGGTTCGAATTCTGAGACCCGGTTTAGCAACCATGTTCAACAAAGTGAAAATGAACCCATGCACGCAGATCCAGCAGTTCCTCTTCCACAGCTGGGATTGCGCTGAATCTGTGGGTAGAGAGGGGGACATCGGGCCTTTTGCCAGGGACGTTTCCTGTTTCCTGGTCGGATACCCCGGGGTGTGCTGCTTCTTGGACCTTCCAGCCCTGGGAGGTGCGGCCTGCATAGGGTTGGCTTTTTTGCAGACTTCTCTTGGTTTTTATGCCTGAGTCCCATCTCCTCGGAACTGTGCTGCTGGCTTGTCCTCTTTTTTCTCTGGCCTTTTCTGTTGTCTTCCAGGGTCATTCTGGGACCCAGCTCCATTGCAGGGCACAAACTGAGGGGAAGGGCAGGCAGGTCGGTCTGTCATTCTCCTGACCACCTGACCACCCATTGACCCTTCAGAACTTTAGAGCAGCCGCGCCTCAGGACCCTCACACCACAGTTAGGAGACTGGGGTGGCAGCCCTCTCACCTCACCACCTCCTGCCATCCAAAGACCCCTGCCTCCTCAGGATGGAGCCATACTGACTGCCCTTGGGCCAGGCCCCTCACTCTCCATCCTCTAAAACTGATTCCTTTCCTTTTGATGTCTCCATGTCAGCCTGGCCCCCTTTGGATCCTCTCTCCCCGGTGGATGACAGAGGCCATCCTACCCAGAACCCCGCACAGCTGTGCAAAAGTGGGTCTAACAGTTTCACACAAGCACCACTGAAAGAAACTGGCTCAGAGATCGCCTGGACCTCTGTGGGCTGCTGTGAGTCCTTGGGACCACATGGTGATGAGGATGTCATGGTACAGACTGACCAGAGGGGTAATGTGGACAGAGTCGGGCTCTGCCCTATACCCCAGGAGAGGTGGCCTCGGGTGGAGAGAGGTGGATGGGCCTGGGTTTTCTTCTGCATCTGTGGTGATCTCTGTCTCACAGACTGAGTGCAGTGGTCTGGGAGTGGGGTGTGTGTGTGTGTACACACACCCATGAGTGTGAGGGACCCAGGATGTCTCTGGAGAGTGAGTATAGAGCTGAATCTGCAGCTCCCCTGGGGATGGGACAGGGTCCCCAAAGGCTTCCACAGCAGGGACAGGCTGAGCTCACCAGGCACTTGGAAAAGCAGGGAGCAGCCTGGGTTGTGCCAAAGAACCCTGGAATGGAACTCCCAGACTATGCCAGGCACTTGTGGAAACCATCTTCAGTTCTCTTGCTCATTTGGCCTGATTTCCCCACCTGGGGGGGGCACCGTTGGAAGGGGGTTTGAGGATGGTCTGGGGAGGGCATCTCATCTCTGAGTATAGCAGAGCGGGATAAGGCTGTGTCCCCTCAGATAGTAACATTTAATTGCTCAGGGTGTGGCCTGGGCATCCACATTTTGTTTTAATTTTTTTCTGTTTGATGGTATTTGGAATTGAACCCAAGTCATTCACACTGAGCTACATCTGTGTCCACCCACCCCCCCCCCTTTTTTTTTTTAATCTTTTGGAGACAGGATTTTGCTAGGCAGTTCAGGCTGGCCTTGAACTCACTTTGTAGCCCAGGTTGGCCTCGAATTTGCATCAATCCTGCTTCAGCCTCTCAAGTGCTGGGATTACAGGTGTGCTCCACCACACCTGGTCTCCCTTTCTTATTTTGTATTTTCCAGCAGGGTCTTGCTAAATCACTAAATTGCCCAAGCTTGGCTAGAACATGTGATGCTCCTGCCTCAGCCTACTAGAGTTCTGCGATTATAAGCATATACTACCATGTCAGGCTGACAACTGAACTTTTTTTGTGTGTGTGTTTTTTGAGATAGGGTCTCACTATGCAGTTCAAACTGGCCTTGAGTTTACTTTGTAGCCCAAGCTGTTCTTGAGTTTGCTAGCATCCTGTTTCCTCAGCCTCCCAAGTGCTGGGATTACAGACATGCACCAGAGCTCTGGGAGACCAAGGTAGGAGCATCACAGGTCCCAGCCCAACCTGGGCACTTTAGTATGACCTGTCTCAAAATAAAACATTAAAAAGGAGGGTTCTGCTGAAGATGTAATTCTGCAAAGGCCCTGGGCTCACTTCCCCGCAGCACCAAAAGAAAAGAAAAAAAAGTAAAAGGAAGCCACTTAAATACCCAGTAACCAAGACTGGTAGAATAAATGCTGTATACACACCGCAGACACATGCAGCCATTAGGAATGACTCCATGTGGTTTTACTCATGATTGCTGTTAGGATTTGGGGCTGGAATGTGCCCAAGACTCATGTGTTAAAGTCTTGGTCCCCACAGCTGAATACGCAGAGCTGGAGCTTTGGGAAGCCATTGTATCACTAGGACTCTAATCTAGATGCATCCTAGAGGGTCCATAATGTGATGGGAGGTGATGAGAACTTAGAAATTCAGATGAGGTTGAAGCACCCTGGGGACATGTCCTTGGGGACTGTATCTCCTCCCCAACCCCTCCTTACTCTCTCCAGTTCCTGGCTGACATGAGGTGAGCAGTTTTCTTCCACCACACCCTTCCATGGTGACATTTCTGCCTCAGCACAGACCTGAAAGCAATGCTGCTGGCTTGCCATGGACTGAAACCTCTGAAGCCATAAGCCAAAATAAATTTCTCCTTGAAATTCTTTATCTCAGGGTTTTTTTCATAGTGATGAAAAACTGACTACCACAATCATGACAAATTCAATATTTTTCCACTGGAAACCACACTGGGGCGTCCACGCTGTGGAACAAAGAGACAGGTGACACGATAGTATGGAGAAGGGTCCAATGCCTTATGCTAAGCAGAAAGGACTACACACCATTGCTAACAGCATTTCAGGAAGGACAGAAAATGGACTACTGATTGGCAGGGACTGGGTGCAGGAGCAGAGGCTACTACAGAGGACCGCCCAGGAATCCGGGAATATGAAATGTTTCTTGTCTGTGGCAGGATTATGTTTGCCAAACTTGCAATTATGCTCTGAGAAGGTGAATCTGACAGGATGAAGAGCATACTTCAGTAAACCTGACTTTTTGAAACTGGCTCAGCACAGCCGTGAGAAGATGCCCAGAGGACCCTACTGATGCTGTTTCCGATGGACACCCAGCCAAGTATATCCTGGGAGACCCAGTGTGTGTTGTGCTCTATAAGTGATTCACATGGGGAACCTCGTGGCAGGATGGCCAAGACACTGCCGTGGTCAGGGGACTGATCCTGAGGGAGAGTCACGGTGATTTCATGCTACCTGTCAATTCTACAGTTTCTCCCTTCTCGCCTGTGGAGGGAGCCTCTGGCTTGAGCCTGTGGCTCTCCTTCGGACTGTTCAAGTGCCCCTCTGCTGAATTCTCCCTGCCCAGCAAAGGCCCAGGAAGGCTTTGTAAGCCAGGCCAGGTGGCCCCAAAGGCAGCTGAGCCTGGACAGGTCAGCCAGGAATGGCTGGGTGTCGTCTCTCTCAGGCCTCTCTGGATCCCCAAGGATTTAGGGAAGTCACAGCCTCAGCATTGGTTTGGGTAGGCTGTCCCAGCAGAGTGTTGGGTGCAGGAACTCCAGGCTCAGTCCCAGCTCCTGTCCCCCTGCCCTGAGCCTGCTGTCCCCTCCCCTCCCCTCAGCTGAGGTCCTCCGTCATTGCTTAAGGCTCATGTTCTGCATTATTTTTGCCCACATGCATGAACTTGTATTTTTCCGAGATGAATCTCATCTGGCTTTTATCTCTTTCAGCCTTCAGTTTGCAGAGGTCCCCTTGGCACTCACAGCCCTGGTCACTTCCTCTGGGGGGCCTCCAAACCTTACTCATCCTCACTGAACAAGAGGCAGCCTGGGCTCTCCTGAGCTGTGCCATGCACTGCTGTGGTCAGGGAGCCCTGCATGCTTGGTCAGGGCTGCGTGAAACAGAAGGGAATTATTTTTTCCTGGTGTCAGC